AGGCAGTGAGAGCTCATTTTAACGAAGTTTTACGTCATGGACACTCAATTGTGAATGAACGATAGTTGATACTGTGTAATCATCCAATATTATGTGCATAATGAGAGACGGACCTTGACAACATTGGTGCCATCAGCTGCAGACACAAAGTAGAAGGGAAGATGGTTGTTGCGGGCAAACTTGAAGCTCTTCTGTGTCACCTTATAATCCACTGCAAAACAATGCAAAATGTAGAAATTCAGTTTTATCGGTGCTATATCACCTAATTACAGAGTGCTATGTCGACTTCTATATATCCTGATTCACTTCATCTTTGCCCGCACCTAGGGCTACTCTCCTTCAGTGGTGGTTATAAAGAAGATGACATACTGTACATGTGTCATTTTACATACTACGCACGTCATAGTGTTGCAATGGTTGTAGAGAAGCCACATTCAACGCCACGCGAAGTTGAATAAACATACTGTGACGAAAATTGTGCGGGGAATAGCTAATCCCTGCAATGGCGCAAAAATTTGGCGCAATGTCTCATCACAGTTACTTGTGACGTATTGGCTACCACCCTTGTATACCTAATGGCACCCAAACGCTGACTGAACTCACCATCAATCTTGTTGGCCACCAGGATGCAGGGGATATCGGGGCGATTCTGTCTCAGCTCAGAGTACCAGTGCTGCAGGTTCTTGTAAGTTATCTTACGAGTCACGTCAAATACCTGCACAAAATTTTAATACTGGTTTGCTTGTGGTTTTTTCTCTCCACCAATCTTCCGAACACCTTGACATGTGCAGTACTAGTTTAGCCAGAAGACCCTCTCTCCCGCCCGCGCAAGCGCGCACGGTAGGAGGCCGTGTGCAGAGAGAGAGAACCTGCACTTGATTGTGTTTTACATGAACAATTGGAGTGAATCCATATTGATGGTTCGCACTGTACTACCCGCGGTACCCAAGGTCCGTCCAGTTTACCTCTCTCCGCGTGCGCTGCCCCACCACGTGCATCCACGTAATGCGTGGACCAGAGAGAGGGTCTGCGGGTTAGACTAGTGCAGTGCATTGGTAAACTTCTGTATCATCAAGAGAGGAGGAGGGGAGGAAGAAAAGGGTTGACCTAAACTTTCGTACTTTTGGCAGGCAAGTCGGGGGGAGGACTGACCACCCAGCCATCTTGAATACCTTGGCTATAGCCCAAGAGTGCGCTAAAGTGTCACGTTCAGTCCATGCACTGCACTCTCCAACTATATATAGTCGAGATATTATTGGTTGGCCTGTCCTTTCCCCTACTTGCTAGAAGTAAGGTTTAGGCCCCCATATGTGTTTCCACAGTCACTCCATGAGTATAATAGAGCAGCTCGTATGACATAGCAACACAGAATGACAAGTGCTATGTAGAGCATTGTCTCAAGGAACAGTGCGAGACGACCAACAGGAATAGCCACTGCATAGTGCATGTTGTATGTGTATATACTCGATCCACCTACGTTTGTGTTGCATAAAGATAACTCACGAGTATGCAGGCATGTGCTTGGTGATAGTAGGAAGTGTGCATACTGTTGAATCTCTCTTGCCCGGCAGTGTCCCAGAAATCTGAAGAGGAAGAGAGGAAGCAAGATGGGGGAGGGGGCAGAGTTCGAAGGAAGCGAAGTAAAACTTATTCCATGAAATGTTAGGTGCTCTGCAAGTAATATCGGCTGACCTGCTATGACCTTTTCTCCTCTGACCTTTGTCTCATATTTGTACAGAGTCACAGCATACGTTGACTGTTGTTGGGACTTACTGACACAGACAGAGTTAAAGAAAATGATCTGTACTTCTATGTAGGCCTTGAAATTGGAAATTGGGGGGCAAATGCTTAATAATGAAGGAGAGGAGGACCCTTTAATTGTGTGCATTAAAAGGTTCAAAGAGGGGGGGCTGCCCCCTCCCCCCTAAATGAACCCTAAGCAGCCCCACTAGATGTCCAGTTGCTTAAGGGAGGGTTGGTACTGAGGCTGTTTTAGCTCTCTAAGTGTGCCAAATGTTACAGTCAGATCAAGTACATGGACTATCGTCATTATTACAGCCAATGAGTTGTAGGACAATATAGGATGAGTGAGGCATAGTTTCAGATCCACCAACTATGCATCAAACTTTATTGTATGCATGTTATTGTGTGCATAGAACAATATCTCTTGTATATAGTTAATCAAGGATACAACTCGTCCACAAGAAACCTCTCAACCAACCTGCACGGATGGTAGCATGGTAACGCTAGTAAACAAACGGGCACTAATTAGAGAATCGAGGGAACTCACTTTGATTTCCCTACGGCGCTGTCTCCCAGGCAGATGATCTTGACTGCAGTGAAATCCTTATCCACCAGCTCATAGTCTTCAGGCTTGACTTTCACCACACTTCGCTCCTTTCCCGTTAGATCGCCTACCACTACTGATCCACTCTCCGCCATAGTTTGGCGCCCACAAATTTTTTTATGCGCATGCGCACTTAACCATTAGGGAGTCAGTGCATGATCTTTCTGCATATTTCTCTCTCGGTTTCTCTGCACTTTGCTGTTTAAACCGCAAATAGTGACTCTTTAGTGTGGACATAGATTATCCGTAGGCTATTATAATCTATGGATGGTGTGGATGAGTGGCTATCTCCGTCGAATTCCATTCACATGTAATGTAAGGCTTTGATTGGACATTCCGATCATTTCACGTCTGCCGTAGCAACACACACAGAGCAGTGGGAGTGCAATCCACTCGATCTTTTGTTCAACCGCAACTCCCCTCTCACTGGATCTCCCCTCCGCCGGCTGTTAGGTTTGCGAGGGCCGGTGTTATCGTGCGCCTGCCGTGGAAAGACGGGTTCGGTGACGTCCAGCAAGTCAGGGGGCGACAATATCTAGGAGAACATCATGGCAGGTTAGTATATTAGTTGTGCTGATTCCCGAGAATCACTGGTGCATCGTGGGTTCTTTTCCCACTGTGGATTCCGCTGAACGTTTTCGTTTTTGCGCCCCTCTGCTGTATTTGTGGGTGGGTCTCGTTGCCTAGTGCATGTGCCAGCTGCGATCGCGGGTCCATCCAAAAATCGCACAGTGTATATTATATCAAACTTGTGATTTAGCTGAGCAGGGTCACAGCCCTTGTGCTGGCCTGCCTAGCTACCCTGCACGGCACCGACAAGGCGTTCTACATTGGGAGACCGAGGTCCGAGCGCAGTACTTTCTATCATCATAAGAGTCCAGTAGCTACTCAGCTACATTTGGTAATCTCAACCCTTTTTTATCGTCATGATTATTTTGCTAGTGATTTATCTGTATGGTTTCCAAAGCAATGTCTATACTACCCGCAAATAGCCTCAGCGGATTCTTCAACAGGAGCCTAGGTTGTGTATATACCTCACTCATGGTCTGAAATATTCCAGACTCTCCATTACAAATGCAACATACATACGTATAGTTAGACGTGTGTGCGACTTGGCTCAAGAGATGAACTAATGGCAGATACTCTCTCTCGGGGAGATTATTTTGAGAAAGTCGGCCGGGAATGTGGTCAGCGGTTTCTCTTTGGCTGCACCTGTGGGGACAGGTGCCGAGAAATTATGTCCATTATACGTATGTCCAGTGCTTCTTTGGAAGGGGTAGGAGAGAGGGGTGGGTGGGAGGGAGCTACACTTTGTGATCCACACTGTAGTTAGTTTGTTTCATCTCTCAAACGCACAACTCGACTCTACCGTCGCTGGTTTGATCCAACAAATCTCTCTCCATTATAGTTAGAAGTATCACATGGTGTTTTACTACGGAGTGTGCACCTCTCTTTTATGGCGTTTTCTCACATGCTCTTCCTGTTCGCCATCTACTCAGCTACATTGTGCACAATTGTATTGTTCCCTCCCCGCCTCCCACTTTTTCCTCCTATTGGGTACATAGCTAGCTGCATTATGTGTAGATTGTATATACTATTAAGTGGTGTGTAAGTCAGCCGCATTCCTCGATATGCCTCACTGATTGTGGGAGTCCAGATTGTGGGAGTGTTTGTGTTTGGTTGCCTCATGAATCGTATATATATCATCCATAACTGCAGAAATTGCTTACAACTAGTAGCACTCTCATTATACCTATCATTAGTATGTATATTATACGGTGTGTAGTTCTAAATAGCCAACCTACCATGCAACTTTGTAATGTTAGCGTAGCCAGAGCATAAAGTGTCGGTATTACACTTTCAAGAATACGTTTAGTGTTTTTCAAAGTGTCCATTGTGCTTGAAGTTCATTGGTTTTCAGTAATAACCGTATGACAACAACTAGAAGCCTTCTGTTATGAACACTGTGCCCCCAGATTTGTCAATTGTGTCGGGCTTTATTCATTTATGCCGTGTACTACATAGCAGCTTTTGTTTATAAGTGCAAAGGACTTGACATTGGCAGATGGTTGCTGTTATCATGTGCCAATCTTTGTTTGTCGTAAACATCGAGTAGTCAAAGTAAACATGCTAGTACACATTTTTGTGCACCGATATGTTCGTAACAACTCCCGAAGACGCTTCAAAGATTTTGTACAGTCCTCAAGGGTAAACTCTTCCTGCCCCTGCCATTAGTCAACATCATTTTTTCAAGTAGTCTGTGGTGATGTTTGTACTTTAGGGAGCTGAGATGACGCTATTGAGGTCGTGTTGGGACATGGGGACTGGGTTTCTAGTCACATGAATCCACTGAAATGTGTTCCCATTTCTGACAGTAGATCTTTTTGTTGCCCACGTCAAACGCAGGAGAACAAGTCGGAAGTACAAGTAATACACGAGAGAGTTTACAGAGCATTTTTGCCAGGCACTGCATGAAGGAGTGTAACATCTTTCAATATGTGGCATTGGTTGCAGTGCAGTGTTCATTTGGCTGTATGGTTGTCCACCTATCTTAACAAATACTCTTCAATTACAGCTTGAAGCATTAGCTATTGTGAAGAGCTTTTACACACCCATGTGTGGTACATGTGTCCATTTTGTGGCAGTGCTTTTCACCCTAAAATGCCAGTATCAGCCACCCAGTCTACTTTACTAATAGTCTCACGAGGCAGCTGTAGTTTTGCACTGAAATTTGGCTAATGGGAGTGCAATGTGCCACAGGCGGCAGTGTGTGATTATACTTAAGTCTTTAATTGTGGTACACCCTTAAAGTGCTTCCTCTGCCTGTATTATACCACCTTGTACAGCTTTCCTTACCTTGCAGTCTTGTACCATGGTTGTCCAGTCACGACTAAGGTACAATATACACAATCGTGATGTATTGTACAAGTGCATGCTGTGTGTTGGGATGCTTCCTCCATCAAGCCCTATCTGAACATGGTCTCGCTGTACCGCTTGTAATAGGAACTGTGGCGTCATTCCAGATAGCCAGACTCACCTATTAACTTGTTTACAAAGGTAACCCTGACTACGTAGACATGCCCTGGAGAGCGCTCGCCTAGACTGCAGAGTGTCGTGGGTTCGAATCCCACCCAGGGCTGCTCAGCTGTCCTGCGTGTAGTTGATTTGTTTGTTGTGCCTTTGCCTTTCTACCTCGTAGTTCACATATGTACATATACTGTATAATACAGTGCCGTATACTGTGTATTAACGAGCTTACCTAATCATCAGAATTGCAAAACTTTAATGTACTCTCACCATATCCCAACAATAAGTGCTACAATTTTGCACTAGCATTCGCTCACCAAAAGGGTGTTGGCTCTGCTCTACTATTATTGAGCATAAAAAGCATATCTACGTATGCAGATATGAGCTCTCCATTGATGCAGGGTTCAATCCAGTCTCATAGTATAATAACAGTAGTACACACATAGGAAAAGTCAGCAAAAGCCAAGGTTACTTAATCAGAGGTAATGCAGTTGTTGGTGAGCGTTCGAGCCTTGAGCTGACATTGTTTGTTTAGTGTTGTAATCATCTCTTTTTCTTGTAATACCGCTAAATCTGCTGGTCTAGTGTTTTTCTTACCCCCTGCTGATGTAAAGTTACATGCATACGTGTACTGACGTACTGCATTGCCTTTGTCTGCAGCAATTGTAATCAAAAACATGACCTCATATCAAAATATCCTTCTGTACTATGATACATGTGATACATAGGATGGCTATAATTTGTTAGTGTGCAGTGTTGTCATTGTCTGGTACATATTTGGAGTAAAGCAATGGTGTTCTGAGGACCTGTTGGAGATATTCATGTTCTCTCGGGGCATATCTGGCTCGTGAATATCGTTCCCTCTTTCCACCCACTGACTAAATATATAGCATATGGTGTGATGTATAATGAATAAGGGTGGCTATATCCGTCATACACGAGTTTGTAGGGGTCAAAACAAAAGCATCTGAAGCGAAATCATAATATATGAGTTGATTATGAGCTTTGCTGTCACATGTGGGGTTCAAAACTCAGCTGCGCCACACCTACAACACTGTAGAGAGTTAGTGTGCTATTTGTAGGTGGGCTGCTTTAAAATACAGGTGGCGTATATTTTGAGTGGTTGAGTACAGGAGATACATCGCGTACATACATTAGTGCTCTGATATAATATACTGGGAACTAATGTTTTGAGGAGAGAGTTTTTCAGCTCAATATTCCACATTCCAACAGGTTTGTTGTATATTAATTTATGTATGTATGTAGTGAAGCAGATGTCGATGAATTAATTTTAGTTCCGTACCGTATAGTATTATAGCTATCGTGTTTCTCGAAATTTGAGATGTGAATGCACACCTGTTCGAGGCACACCTTCATATAGGTTATGGAGGGCAATTTCTCAAATTTTGTTTTCATATCTCTGCGACAGTTTTTCTTTTAGATCTGTTGTTGCTTCCGATTAACATGTGCATGTCCCAGTTCGAAACCTTTTGTCTGCTCCGTCTTCCTCATTAATCATTCATCGTGAACATCCGTACTTTCGCCAGCATTCCTGTACGTGTTTGTCTCCATAGCCTTATATTAGTAACAGTTATTACGTGAAAAAATCAATGTGACTTGCTGTAATTGGGAAAACACGTCATTAAGTAAAGCTACGTACCACCTGTGTATAATGTGTCTTCAATTTTCGAGGCAATCATTTTCAGTTCATGTATAGTCCACAGTAACTAACACAGCAAGCCTATTTGTCTCTTCAGTGAGTCCTTCTTAGTGCCTCTGACCTCATTTCCTTCTAGTGAGTTCATGTCTTCCTTTTTGGCTCAACCACCAGAGCTTACACATGCATGTATAAATAGCTACATTCCCACCATTGCATTGTGTGTGTAGAGATATCTGTCGTATGTGTGTGCCCCTGGTATTATTATGCATAATTGACCGTGAGTAGTCTTTCTACTTTGGCTCTCCAGGGGGAAAGGCTTTTGAAGTCCACTAGGAACTGCATGTGTTCATAACGTGATAGCTTTTAGACTTTGGAGCTCATTGTCCATGTTGTACATGAAGTAGAACAGGAGTGAGAGATGTATGTATGTATGTATATAATGTACGAGAGTGCTCTCTTTCCCTCACTTTGGCCGAGAGCTTGTTCGTAGTGATGACCCACTGCAGTGATTGTTTGTGTGACTATATGGTAGAAAGAGGCAAAAAGAGTGCGTGATTTTGTTTTACTTTTTTGAGGTTGCGAGTCAGAAGCCTCTTGAAATACCCTAATCAAACATTCCATGCACATTAGTGTGAGGCACCTGTGAAAAACTTATTGTGATCTCACTCATATCTCTTTGGGAAGAGAAACTGTTGCAGTCAACACTGGTAGCGGGCTGCAGAGAGCCCTGTGAACTAAGGCCTAATCAAAGTCTAATGTGGCACCCTCATTGGAGAGGTGTCCTAATCAAAGTCTAATGTGGCACCCTGATTGGAGAGGTGTCCTAATCAAAGTCTAATGTGGTGCCCTGATTGGAGAGGTGTCCTAATCAAAGGCTAATGTGGTGCCCTGATTGGAGAGGTGTCCTAATCAAAGTGTCCTTGTGTCCTTGCACAACTGTAAGCCTATAGTAGCACATGAACATGAACATGAAGTGAAGCTCTCAAGTCCTCACATTCACCAGTCAATAATGCAGGAAACAACCGCACACTCAATTCCAAAGCTAGATGAAGCTGTGCTGTATAATCCATACTAACTAAAGATTCCAAAAGTGCCAAAATTCCAAAGACATTCCATTGTCAAAGGGAGATATCCTTGGCATGAAGGCCCAAGGAACTCATGGCGAAGTAATATTTCCACTTCTAGGTGACAGAATCAGAATTGAGGTTTTAGCAAGGACGGCTGGGGTGAAGAAAGGACAACCCCTGCTTTCCTATAGGGTGTCAAAATTAAAATCGTACTCCTATATGGTAACCAACACACCTCTTAGATGTACGCTTGCATAAAGTTAGCCGTGCAAGTGTGTGATGGGGATTGGCCTTTGAGGAATGTTGTGTGACAGGAACCATTAATTGAGGAATGGCCCAGATTTTTCGTAGTTTTAAGTAAACAAACTCTGTGAATTGGGAGGGAGTATCAAATGAACCTGACTCAGCTCACTGGTGTAACATTGTCCTTGAGCTCATGCACACTTGCTATGGTGTGTGGGGTCATCTGGGGTCATCTCACAGGTCATGTAGGCATGTGGCTGAGGTAGATTCCTGTCCCCTGGCCCAGGGCTGAAGCCAGTGGAGAGGGAGGGTGGGATGACAATGGGCCCAGTCAGTGTAAGGTTTCAATGTTGAGGCAACAGAAAACTTGCGGGGAGGTGCCTGGTGGTTTACCTGCTTTCTTGACTCTGAACACACTATGTAGCATGTTTCCTCCATTTTTGGACTCAGTTTGTGTTTACATGCATAGCTTTTGATCTCTAATACCACACCACTATAATCATATACCCCCTGCTGAGTGCTCAAATATCATGATATACAATGTATGTCCCACTGCCAAGTAGAGTATAGAGGGGTTATACTAACTGAATTTTAAAACAGCTCAGCTGCTCCATGTGTGCTTCCGTTAGCACGTTTGAGGAGAAGTGCCTGAAGCTATTTGAACAATATGTAGTCTCATAGAAACATGTAGTTGTCATGGAAATGATGTAATACACATGTGCAAATCACATATATACACACCAGCAGTCATTCAAAGAACTCTCTCTTTCAGTATTCCTACCAGCTAAGCTAGTCAATGACTTGCTGGGTCTTACTTCACAAGCAATGTGCTTTAGTGGGCACATTCTGAGCCTTAGACCTGTTTATCAAAGGTCAGTTCACAGGCTGTTACATCAAGCTTCCTTTACAATTGCTCAGTAGGTGAGCTCGATATAGTGTGCATAGCATGCTATGCATGCGTGCATGCTAAGCTGGTTCTGCTACTGAGTATAGGTTTGGGTCTTCTGTTACTCATAGCAGGCACCTTCTCCTCCCTTTGTAGTGCTTCTCCAAAACACTTTGATTATAACCATGAAAGACAGACCTGGGAGCAATCATCTGGTTCTTTGAGAAATAGATTGTGGTTAACACAGACAACACTATTGATTTGAGCCATAAAGGGGCCCAAAAATTGCAATGGGGCAGCTGGTTTGGAGAATTTGGGTATTAGTAAATTAAAATTCCTAGGCTGTATCTTATCACTACCCTGATGGTCCTGATACACTAACCGCCACTCCTTGTCTCCATCATTGCTATATAGTACATTGGGCTTTACTGCATGCTCAAAATCATTTCTATGTCATGCAACAATGGTTGCTGAGTTAAGCTAGCCTACCTAGTTATCTGAATGTGTAGCTTTTCCCCCCATATGCAGTGATGGAACTATCACACATAATACCATAATGCTCTAAACAAACTTGATCGTGAGATGTGTGACTCTTGTATTCGGTTGACGAAACTGCCTTGCATCTTACAGTATGTGGAGGGTAGTGCTTTGGAGAGCAGATGTGATGTACGTAGGAAGCAAAAATGAAACCCCATAATTACCTTAATCTCTGCCCAACTTTTCTCTGAAACTATGAACATCAAACGCAGGCTAAACTGTCCAATTGCATGTTTACAGTAAATACTCCCATATACCTTGGACAGAGTGTCTGAAATAGTAGTAACCCGTGGTGACCTACGTAGCTAGTTCCCACAGACCCAGAGTGTGCTGGTCACAATTCCAGCTCGTCTCCTAGGAAGCTTATTCGAGGGCAAAGAGTATTGGAATTTGTGCAACTTTGCAAGTCTGTGTGAATCACAATCAGTGGCCTGCATGATAAGCTGCCTTTTGTAAGCCGGCTGCACCTTGTACCATTGTGGGTGCTTATAGTTTGTGCAATCATGTGTTGTACACCAAGAAAAAGGCCAAGCAATACACGAAACAAGTAGCTATTATGGGTGAAAAATTGACTGTACGAAACTACCTCGATTTTTAAACTTGTTTCCAGAACTTTGAAAGGGCTGCTGATTGTCCGCACACTAGCACATATGATGTGTAGTGTACACTTGCGTAAAGAGATAAAGTCATTTGGCAAGAAAGGGTTGCACCCTGGTATTACAACATGTATTGATGGTCAGTAGGTTGCTTGCCCATGTGTAGCATACAGGGCATACAGGGCAGTTACACTCAGCCACCTCCAGAAGCCTTCCTGTTTGACTTACCTGTTTGCTGTGGTCATTTTGCAAGCCCTGACATTGCTGAGAAGCTCATCAATAGTGCATCAGATGTTCTGTGAAACATGTGGACAACTTTGTTGTGGTCACAACTATGTCATCCTTTAGCTTCCCAATACTTGCAGTGCACTCACTGTATATACCAGATCTAGTGGAGTGCTCTAATATGGGGCACAAGATGTACGTCTTATTGGTTTTATTAAGTATCTGTGTGGTAAGGCAAGGCACCTTAGTTTAACCTTCGCCTAGTCTTCTGTTGCGTGGTAAATGGTATGGCTGTTAAGTATTAGTTTTTTTTGCTGCAAATGCCAGAGCATGTCTGGAATGCAAAGGTCTGGCACACCTGTTTCTTACTTTTTCACTTTCTTTGCTAATCCGCTGTTTACGTGGGGGGAAAAAAGATAAAAAAGATAAAAAAGATAAAATAGGAACCCAGTGTTGTACATTGTGTATGTGTGTGTTTTGCATGCACAATGTTAATTCAGGTGTACATTCTAGAGTGTGTTGCCTAGCGCTGTTTCCTGCCCCGCTAACCTTTAATCTTGGTCACCACATGTGGTACATTTACACGTATTGTAACCTGCAAATGTGCACATACTAACACCCAGTAGTGGCTGTATAGTGGCTGTATAAGGGTCTGTCAGGATGTGAGGTAACCATGTAAGACTTCCTCCCTCAGTGCATAGTGTGCAATTTGGCAGTATAACATGCCACTGGCTGGCTGTTGCAGCTCAGTTGAGATATTGCTAGCTCTCCAGCTATACCACTATAGCTTTGGGCTCAAGCTGTGAGACTCTTTTGAGGAGGAATCATAGCAAAGCTGTATGGTATTATTGCTGTGCGGAGAGGAGACTTTGTAGGGGCTGTAGAAGATGACCAAGTTTCCCAGCCTTCCATCCTCCATTGGTAAGACAGCTCTCTGGTCCTGCCCAAGACTTCCAGTGTAGCAAGCCAGCGTGTTATAAGTGTGTATTGCAGCTACTTGTAAGCATAAGTGACTACTGGCCTTGTGTGTGTAGTGTCAACTATTACCTATATATGTAGCACCATTGTGAGTGCTTGGATACTACATATATGAACATGTAGTGTACTGCTGTATTGCATGTTAACTTACCGTTACCAATGTGATGTTAGAAATGTATTATTCCAGCATTTAACTCACAAGTAGACTTCTGGCATGGCCTAAACGTATTATGCGTGATGTCAAAAGTCTGTTGAAAGTTACTGAGCTACATATGTTTGAAAATGTGCTATGTTACCACTTTGAACTTTGACGTTGAAAATATATGTGAGCACTTCAACTGCAACTAGAGTCAACACTTACCAAAGTCTATGAAACTGCTTGTGTGTATGTACATCAAGAGAGCAGCTGCTGTAGTAGTTATTGAGCTTCCAGAGAGGTGCACCTGCAATGAACCACCCACTAGAACAAAGAAGCCTAACAGTTTTGCAGCTATTCCTCGTTGATTGGCTCACTTTTGAAGCTCTGGACTCCCACTCCTACAACAGTTTTCCCTTACATGTATGCACATTGGAGACTAACTCCACTCTACTACTCTAAGTGGCTGCCTGGTGTGGGAGGGAACATGTGCTCTGTGGTGGATGTGGGTCAAGGCTGAAGCTATGTATTATACTCCCCTAATGTTCCTTTGAAGATTGTATCATGAGTCAGCTGCTGAGAGGATTCAACATGTAGAGCAAATTTTACCACTTCTTGTGATAAGGGTACTGAATGGAAGGAGAGACTTACACAGTCACTATGCCAACTCTATAGCTAGGCAGCAACATTGATGATTGGGAAACAACCAATTGTCTGAGAGATCAGAGAATGGGGGATCGAAGCTGGCCAGGGCTGTGTACGGTGCATGCAAAGCGTGGCTTTCACTACTATATCTGTATCTGCTAGAATTCATTTAGCAGTTATATATACCAATGTTAATTGTATTTGGAGCTGTTCCAAATTTCTGGCTCAGGGCCCATGGTAACTGATTGGGTAGTAGACCCTTTTGTTTTTTCTTATTTGATGTCTGGAGCTTTGTAGTAGCAACTGCTACACCATCTCCTGTTGCACTACAGTATTGTCTGTTTTTGTTAAGTTTTATAAATTTTATTGGGTTCAGAAGAATACAGGCAGGGTTAGTTAGGGGGGCATAGTCTATGTGACACAGCCATACCATTCTTAACCTGTCTTCTTCATCAATCGTTCTGATATTTCACTCCCTCGTCTTGCCTCCCCTCTCACTCCCCCTTCCTCTCTCCCTCTCTCTCCGAAACAGAGTTCCCAGCCTGTGCCCAGACAATGGTGGGCAATAACATCGGAGCCTGTTTCCTCCAACTCACCGGGGCGGCCATCACTGTGAGGTTCACCCAAACCAACGACACTGCCTCGTGGCCCTACAACTGCATCAGACAGTTTCGAGCCGACGAAGACACAAAACAGTTCAGCTTTTTTTCCGGCCGCCGAGGACCCTACGGAGTCGCAGAGTACAAGTTTGATATGACGGAAAAGATGTTGCTGGCACTACAAGACGCGCTCACTCAGTTCACCGGTGCCCAGTTTGGTCTGGGTCAGATCTCCACCCCCGGTACCGGTATTGGGAACATCGGAGGATGGACTGGAGGGAATGGGGTAGGGGTACTCCCACCTGACTCCACCCGCAGCCCGAGACGAGACCCGCTACCCCAGATCCCCGGTACCCCGCCCAGTAATCAGGAGTTGCATGCGGGGTACTCCACTCACAGGGCACACTTCCAGCAGATACACTCAGCCTCAGACGTGTTTGCCACCCTCCCCAATCCTCGCAATCGTCAAGAGTCTCTCTCTTCTTCCGTCGGCCGACCGCTTGTCCCGGCCCCATACGACTCCCAGACAATGGACGCCAGGAGGAGAAGGGGTGCCCCCTCAATCAACACTAAATATACCTACCACGAGGTCGTTGGGAATTTCCCCCAGCCGGCTGGACTTTCTGCAGGTTCTGCCGTTGCAGTTTTGAGTGGAATGGGTCGAAAGATGAGTCACGGAGACGAGGTCTTTGGCTCAAGAACCATGCAGAGGTCAGTTTGTGTTTTTGTTAGTTTCTTCTGCCAACTTGCCGTCCATCCTCTGTGTGTGTGTGTGCCTGTAAATGAGCCTAGAGTGTGGGAACTCATAGATGACCTCATCTATGAGTTGTTGTAGCAGCTGACATTGCAGGTTACCTTAATTTACTCATGCACCCAAAGTTCATTTACTATTTCAGGACATCCATGCACCTAAATCCATACCTTGAATCCAGTAGTGACCATATCTGGTAATGTATACAGCTAGCTGCACATCAGGGAAATTCTTTTTGTGGAGCCCCCACCTAAATTCATATACTCTGCCACATACCTTCCTATGCAACAATGTGTCTACTACTGCAGCCCTGTCAGGAATGCCAGGTTGGTGAGGCAATATACAGCCCCCACTCATCGGACAAGAAACATTTTCGAAGAAACAGACTCCCCTGCACAGGTATTCACTTGAAAAGTTACATCATTAAAGGGGGTTACTTAGAAAGTCAATTCGAGCTCTTTCGTCCCCCCTCGTCTATCCATTATTCTTGCTCATACCAAGCTGACCTGCCTACACTGCTTGGTAACCAGTATTACTGGAAGGCAGAGCTTGCCAATCTCAGAAAAAAGAGCAGTATTCCACTAATGATCTCAGTGTTGTATGTGTGTGCGTTGTGTAACATGTGCCATGCCAGCACCAGCTAGTGCTAGAAACAGGATGCTTGATCTACCAAACGCTCAGATCATTTCCTTTAATTCACAATGCAGGGTTGTTGTGTCTTTCTAGTGATTTAACTTGGTGTAGTTTTGCAGTTTTGTGGGCAGCGATAACCCCGCTTCTAAGTGTATTTTACAGAACACTCATTTACTGGCAAATTTACTAAGCAAGAGTAATGCTTTAGAAGATTTTGAAAGTCAATTGGTGCGAATAATATGCACAATAAATTTACAAAACAACAGTGTATTTTGCAGAATCCTTGCCCTCATTTACCGGCAAAGGTTTAACATACAGAGGAGAGTAGTTTGGATAGTCAAATTGTGTGAATATGCAAAATTGCATAAAAATGAAGTTTTTGGGTGGCTAATGGATGACTCTAAGTATGGTTGGATGCAGTGCAGTAATGTGTGTGTGTGTGTCTCAGTCATAACTCCCAATGTGATATTGTGCTACAGAGTGGGGTGTTCAGTCCACCACCATCTGAATCAGCTGAAGACGGATCCTCCGATTTGGATTTCGGACTGCTCAGAAGAAGCTCACCTCAGGTATGTACACGTCAAGGCAGATAATGAATGCCGTGCCCACATTCTAAGTCGGCCTATGCGTATACCACTAACAAAGTGTCCATTAAAACTGTTTGCCACTCGTAAAACCTAACATGGGATGGAACTTTAGTACACCATGTTTCTATATAGTGCATGTTGGAATTGTGACTCACTGACAATCATTTCCTAATGAGTGAGACCATTTGCCTCATTGTGCTAGCATAGCTTCACGCTTCTTTCAATTCTCAGGTTGATCGCAAGAACACCACCAGACGAGGTCGCATCTCTCCAAACTCACCTCATGACGACGTGTACAGTGTCCCCCGACCTTCCGGCTCTACCTCGAGCCCTCCCCTCATCCCACCCAACACCTCGACTGACACGCTCTATCAGGTCCCCCGTCCAAACTCTGTCGATCATCTCTCGCAGGAATCGGCCGAGATCCCCGCGTCGTTTGCCATCTCCCCGACGCAGAAAGACAACGTCTACAGCGTCCCCAAACCAGGGAGCGATCTCTACAGTGCTCCGCGACCACAGAGACAGATGAGCAGGGACGAGATTCCAACCACACCAGATGTGGGTGGGTCAGTCATATACAATGTCCCTTCATCCAGACCATTACCTATACAACAGCAGCAGCAGCCGGTTCATCCGCAGATGGTGAGACCGCCAGAAAGCGGCCAAGAGCTTTACAACACCCCCAGAGCCGTGGCGTTAAATGGTCACGATCACCAAATCCACACGTTGGCCAGCACCCACCAGATTCCCACAAACACGCCCCAAACTCCGCAGAATGGTCACGAGCTCTACAACGTTCCCCGCTCGGCCCTAGAGAGCACTAGACAAGAGGAAGACGAAGCACTGTACAAAGTCCCCCGATCCCTCGAGGCACCCCCAGACTTGTACAATGTTCCAAAGCCATCACAGACTCGGTCAAGCTACGACACCTTGCGCGAGGTGCAGAATAGTGCCGACTATAGAGCTAATAAAGCTGGGAGCATCCCCACATCTGCCACACCTGTTCACCAGCAAAACATCATCAGACAACCCATCCCTACACCAGAGCAAGAAACATACAGCGTTCCTCGACCAGCCAATCCTCCCTCCCCAGTCGGTGGAAGAAGAGGAGACACGGCTAATGGAAGGAAGTACCCCTATGATTACGTTGATCATCGAATCCCGAGGGGTGATAACAGGGGCGTCCTCAAATCTTCACGCAGTCTCGAGTCCCTGGTAAGAAACCGAGTCACCCTCAGCCCAGACTCCACCCTTTCTTCGCAACCCCACGGGCTTGCGCAGAGGACGCCCTCCCCGCGCTCACTCAATCACAAGTACATAGAAATAGACGTGGACGAGTTCAGAGAAACTTCTCCTTCCTCTCCGTCCTCCACTGGTAAGAGATTTCACCTTCAGCCACAACAACAAAGACAAGAGAACGTGTACGCAGAGATTTCGGAATCTGAGTCATCTGCTCGACGTCGCGGGTCACACCCGGAGAGCACCGGCCCACAGCAGGTGAATGGTGGACCGGCATATACCGCTGTCAATAACACACCACTACCAACGCAGCAAAGTAGGGTGTACGTACCACAGCAGAGCAACGGTAACAGTCTCAATGTCAGTAAGGAAGCAAGGGCCCTGCACGAAGAAGGATACGAGTTGGTTCTGCCGGCGGACGAAGCGGCTAGAAACCGCACCTTGCAACAGCAGAAACAGGCAACTCTACCTATGAACATCCACCGCACGCAGTCCGTGTCTACTTCTTTCAGCCGAAATACTCACCATCTCGCAAACGGGGGCCACCCTCATGTTGGCGGAGATACGAGTTTCTCCAAGTTCAGTACCTCAGGACCACAGAACAATGGTACAGGGACTGATGAGTATGTCATTGTCAATCGTCGGGACATGAATCTGCCACCCACTCAACCCAGGGACATCCCCGTTCCCCTTCTCCACGACAGTGGGTTCTCTGAATCACAGGGTCTAAATACAGGGACACCCTCGAGGATTCTCTTTGAGGACGAATATGAAGTCATGTCTCAGTCAAGAGGGACACAGTGACCCGACAGCCTCAGTTTGCAATGGTCCTTCGGTACCCACCAAGAAAAGGGGATCTGTCCCATCCTCAAATGGGACTCCCACTGGTGCCCGCAGTATCAATCGCAGTGTCCGGGACTCCCTCGATTTGGACAGCATTGACAGCGGTAGTCGAGCTAGCCTGGGGTCAGGAAGCCACCTGGACGAACTGGTGGGCTCACTAAGCCCAATTGATGCAGGGGTTCCCCCGATGCCTCCTCCGCCCTACAACGGCAATGGTGGTCCCGGGAGGAAAAGTGTCACCAGAATCGCCTCTGGAAGTCCTCATGACATCAGCCTGTCGAAAGAACTCAAGTAAGTCTTAACCTGTATCTTTTGAGGAGCATGACTGGTATTGACACTTTCTGGAGCTTTATCTAATTGGTTAGCGTGCTTTTAGTGTGCTATACTGACTCTACTACACAGGTTCCACAGCAACTCGGTTGAGAACATACTGGACGAGGATGAGAAGAACCGGAAGTACGAGAATGTGACGGATGAAGATCTGGCAGCCAAACATGCCCTCTCTGCCAGCCACCAGCAGTATCCTGCTGGGCACCACAAGAAACCACCCATGCCTCTGCCTCGCCCAGCCCGGCTTGTACAATGAGCATTTTTTTTCCTCTCCATATGTTGTATCATAGCTTTTTGTGTCATTACCTTCATCGATTTTTGTGATATTTTTTGTTATAGCTCTCTGCTTTTTTTGGTGAAAGTGTGTATTATAATCGGGTTTCAGCTGCATCCGTTCATTGTTTTGTTCTCTTGTATATAACTGTCCTAAAAACCTTTCCCTCATTAAGTATGGTAGGGCTGAAGGTGTCGCTATAAGCGCATCTATGGCAAGCGAAGTGTAACAAAACTAAATGGCACGTTCAAGACGCGTAAACGTACGTTGGAGACAGATACGTACGTCTAAAACGTACGTTGGAGACACATACGTACGTATAAACATATATACGGACGTGCGTACGTTCGTTCATACTGATGGTACGTACGTCCGGTCCATACCATACGCGTATCCATTATGCGCATGCGCATTATCGTACAGCGCAGTTGAGAGTAGAGTATGGCTCGTGAAGTGATATGTACTTCGAAGGAAGGAGGAGGCCTGTGTCATTTTGTTACTCTGAAGCTAATAGCGTGAAAGAAGCTCACGATAGTCCAGAGCGAAAATAGTCATATAATCCCGGAACTCCACGTAGGTGATCGCAAAAATCAGAGCACACAGTTATCGTGTACTCAAAATGTACCACTACATACTCGGTGTAGTTACGATTAGCTAAACCATATTGTCTCTCAGCTTCTTCAATCAAGTGACGAATTTCATCAAAAAACAGATTTTTCGTAGTGGTCGGATCTGCATCTATCATGGGCTGCAGCATAGTCTTGACTCTTTGCATTTGTTCACTATTGTGGAGCGTCAGAATAGAGTAAGTTTACCGCACTGCACGCACACTGCGCCGTTAAATGTGTGCGAAACCCAGGGCTCAGCAGTGCGCCAATGGAGATGTGATTCTGACTAACGGAACCGGACCGCACGAGGGAAGAGTGGAAGTATGCGGCAATGGAACGTGGGGAGCAGTCTGTGACGACGGATGGGGCGACAGTGAGGCTGCAGTGGTTTGCAGACAACTTGGATACACTAGCACCGGTTAGCTTTATGCTGAATACTAGTGCAGAATGTTATGTTCTGTGCAATTGATGCTGGAAGTTTTATAATGTCCTGTGTATAATTTTTGAAGGAGCTACAGCTCTTAGCACCGGATACTTTGGTACTGGTGGTGGCTTCATACTCATGGACGAGGTGGCATGCACCGGAAATGAGACAGAGCTGACTTTGTGCTCTCACAACTCAAGCCATGACTGCAGCCACAGTGAAGATGCCTCGGTGCAGTGTCGCTGCGCCGACGGAGAAGTATCTCTTGTCGGAGGATCTGGACCCCACGAGGGAAGGGTTCAAGTGTGCAAAAACGGAGTGTGGGGAACAGTTTGCGACGACAGCTGGAGTGCATACGATGCTATTGTTGTTTGCAGACAACTTGGATATACAAATATTAGTGGTAAGAATAGATGCTTGTTTCTGTGCATTACTTCAGTGTTTGGGGGAAAGCTTGTAGGTGGTATATAGTTGAATTGCATAATTTCAGTTGTTGGTCTTTTATTTAAAGGAGCTACAGCTCTTTCAAATGCACATTTCGGTGCTGGTAGTGGCTCCATACTGATGGACGACGTGGTTTGCAGTGGGACTGAATCAAAGCTGACTTTCTGCAGCCACAGTTCCAACCACAATGTGGGCACCATGAAGACGCCTCAGTTCAATGTCGCTGTGCCAATGGAGAAGTTGCCCTGGTCGGTGGATTGAGGCCTCACGAGGGGAGGGTTCAGGTTTGCATGAATGAAGTATGGGGAACAGTCTGCAATGACTACTGGAACAGTTATAACACGATTGTTTTTTGCAAACAACTGGGACTCACAACAACAGGTATATACACAAGGGTATCATGCTCTACATATTACACAAGTTGACCGTGTTCTTCTTCTGTGAAGGAGCCATTACTCTTAGCAGTGCACACTTTGGTCCTGGTAGTGGCCCCATATTGATGGATGATGTTGCCTGCACGGGGACAGAGTCATGGTTGACATCGTGCCTCCACACTTCAGAGCACAACTGCAACCACAGTCAAGATGTCTCGGTGCACTGTGGTTGTACCAATGGAGATATTCATCTGCTAGGAGGGAGTGGTCCTCACGAAGGGAGGGTGCAGATTTGCATCAATCACGTGTGGGGAACGATATGTGATGATAGCTGGAGCAGCAATGATGCTTCTGTAGTATGCACACAGCTTGGATACTCCAGAAGTGGTAAGTTATATAGCAGAGGCAAGGGATTGCTCTATTTGTAGCTTAAAACCTTATGGAGACTTAAAACCATGATACTGTAAGTTTTGCAAATAATTGTGAAAGAGAGCATAAGCGCTATCACGGATTGCTTTCTTCACCGGGTGACCTAAGAATAATTAATCCTCGCTCCCTATCTCATGCATGATAGACTGGCATGATACTGTAGTTACGGGAACCTGAAAGAGATTATGCTTCCCTCTAAAGGAGCAACAGCTCTGTCGTATGCGTACTTTGGTCCTGGTAGCGGCTCCATACTGATGAGTGAGGTGACCTGCAATGGCGATGAGACTCAACTGACTTCATGTTCCCACATAAGAACCACGACTGTGAGCACAGTGAAGATGCCTCTGTGCGGTGCGGACACCGCTGTACCAGTGGAGATGTGACTCTAGTGAGGGGCAGTGGTCTCTACGAGGGGAGAGTGGAGGTGTGCGTCAATGAAGTGTGGGGAACAGTGTGCGATGACAGTTGGAGCACATTCGATGCTTATGTGGTTTGTAAGCAGCTCGGATACACCACTTCTGGTTAGTACATTAAACAGAGTAATCCTTTTAAAATGGTGTAAACAGTAAAATGGTGTATTAATTCTTCTGGTATTGAGAGTTTTACATTTTCTGTAGGAGCAACAGCTTTAAGTCGTGCTCACTTTGGTGCTGGTAGTGGCTCCATTTTCATGAACAACGTAGCCTGCACTTTGTTTGACACACAACTAACCTCATGCTATCATACACCGTACCACAATTGCGGTCACAGTGAAGACGCATCTGTGCGCTGTCCTCTCATCAGACAACGAAGGACAACTGGGTATGCCCAAGAAAATACGGAAGTTTTATGTCCACATCTGGAAGTTTTATTTACAGGGTGTGTCTACGAAGTTTCTCCTATACCAATTATCGAGTCGTCACATCATTTGCTGTTAATTTTCAGTACTACAGCTGCAGTTCGTGGTTTGGTACCTATTATACCTGTTACAGGTTTGCGAAAATAGAACCATTCACAACAGCGAAAATACCAGTCTTAAATTTTACAGGCTAGTTTACAGAACTACATACGCCACTCGATCGCAATCGACCTACCGAATTGTCCCTGTCTGCTGTGCTGGTTACTCAGGTGACGGGCAGACCTGCACTCGTGAGTTACAGCCTGACATGTGCTCCATTGTGCTTCATACTCTGCTAAAGCCGTGTGCAGCACTGGATGTGTTAATGGAGGATGCACTAGTCCTGGAATATGCACTTGTAATGTGGGATGGACTGGACCAAGATGTGATCAAGGTTATGTGTAAATATACAACACTTATTCTATATGAAGCACGAAAACTTTAAGTTTACGGCCCTGAATTTAGGTGTGTGCAGTCTTGGATGTGTGAGTGGAAGGTGCACCAGTCCCGGGATATGTACTTGTTATGAGGGATGGACTGGACCTAGATGTGACAGAGGTAGTGTAAACATGTAGCTGGCTAAAACCTACAACGTTACTAACTATAATTTGCAGCTATCTGTGATCGACCATGTGTCCGTGGAAGATGCACGGGACCTAATAACTGTCAGTGCTATCCAGGCTGGGGAGGCAAGATCTGCGATGCACGTAAGTAAGCATAAAAAAGAAGGTATATACACCCTATAAAATTATCCAAGTAAACACATCCAGGTGTTAATAGGTTTTCCTGGAAGTGTGCAAGTAAAAGTGTTTGGGTTTGAGAATGTGTTTATCCTCTGAGCTGCTTGTAATTTGGCTGTGTGTATCTTGCCTTGTTGACTCTTATACTGGTATGGAAAGTAGTGCTCTACTTAGTTTGCATCAAAGCAGCTTCCTTCACACACACACACACACACACACACACACACCTTGTCTTACATTGCTGTGCAACATGTTTATCGGAAAGAGTTGCGCTTTAAGTGTGAAAGATGCTTCCTTCTCTGCAGATGAGACTTGTAATGAAGGGGCAGTTCATCTGGTGGGAGGTGATGATGAATCTAGAGGGAGAGTGCTGTATTGCTATAATGGAGCCTGGTACTCTGTGTGTGCTGATGGGTGGGACACAACTGGAGACGAGGCTAGAGTCGTCTGTGACACTTTGGGCTATAACACCTCTAATTATGGTACAACCTATACGAGAGATAAAAAGGGCACAGTGGGAACATGTCTTCAAAATAAAGGGGATCGAAAGATAAGGACGGTTATATAAGCCGTAAACAACCCCAAGCTTAAGTCCTTGTTTTTCTTGTAGCTGCAGTTATGACAGCTTGGTATGGCAGGTGTGACATTGTTGTGCTAGCGAGCATGGCTCAACAATGCCAACCCTCACGCATAACTAGACCATTTCTGAAGAAGTATTGTATGGCATTTGTCAAGGTTTGGGTGAGTACTATTGTGCTATTTTATGAACATGTTTTAAGCTTTAGCCAACTATGGTCGAGGAATAAGCCCTGTCCTGCCAGTGACGATTCAGTGTGCCAGTACAAAAAATGCACTTATTGACTGCTCAATGGAAGAACTGGATATCAGACAGTGCAGAAATCTGGCTGGAGTTAACTGTAGATTACGTAAGATTGTCCTCCTTTTTGGTGCTCAATTTTCCATTGACTCTATAGAGGAAGCATGTGACCATGGTGCAATACGACTGGTTGGTGGACTAACTGACTCGACTGGAAGACTGGAGTTCTGTGCTCACGGGATCTGGGGCAGAGTCTGTCATTATTTGGATTATTGGAGTCCTGACAATGCCAGAGTAGTGTGCCGCCAACTCAACTTTTCTGAAGAGGGTGAGGTGTGCGTTGTGTAATACCTCCATTAGCTTGAGTTACCATTTCTATTTCAACTGTGTCATAGTTCATTCATGACTGTATTAATCACTAAACACTGAGCTACAATTCCCCGTTTCTTTCTACAGCCAGTTATCATTCATTATGTCTCGCACTGCATCCTCACGCAATCATGTGCCGTATCTACCATTTAACCCTTTGTTGTCAAGGTTTATCCCCCTGTATTTAGGTGCATTGGTTCTTGACCATGACCTGGAAAGATTTGGAACGAGTGACAGAGATACTTTAATAGGAGAGGTCTACTGTGTCGGAACAGAACGAGAGCTGCTCGAGTGCTCTCATCCCCGTATTGGATCACATCGCTGTGATAATAATCGTGACATCATTATTAGCTGCTATGGTTACAAACTTTTACGTCTTGTAGAGTTGTTATTTTATGTAGTTATATATTACAGATGAGGAAAGGGGGTGTGCAAATGGAGAAATGAGGATACAAGGAGGGTTTGGACCTTCTGATGGCCATGTGGAGTTCTGCGTGGACCGAGTGTGGGGACAAGTATGCAGCGACGGATGGGATGCCAACACTACCAAAATAGCGTGTAGACAACTTGGTTTTGACTCTGAAGGTTTGCGATTGTCTTATACTCTCCTGAAGTGATCGATGTGGTCTCTCCACAGATGGTGTACTAATTGATGGGCCTGCAACTGAGAGCCATTTCCCAATGTTTTTGAGTCAAGTCACATGTACAGGCTCCGAGCATTACCTCAGTGAGTGCAGTTTTGACTTGGAACCGACTGAAGGCTGTACTGGAATAGCAGTTTCATGTGGGAGACAGTCGAGTGAGTACAAGTACCAGTTTTTGCAACTGTAAATCACTGCCTTTTTGTAATACGACAGATCAAACAAGGTGCACAGAAGCTGGAGCTCCAGCTTCCCAGGATAAAAACTACATTCACGGAAAACTACACAGGTTTAAAAAATTCACATCAATTCCTTAAATTTATCTTGTCATTGTTAGTTATGGAGAGTGTTTGGAGTACACATCGCAATCGACAGTATGTGACGGTGTAGTGAAGCCTGGGACAGACTATGTGTATGCCGCTTCGAGACTGGGAGACCAGAGAACTATTGCTCAAGTGCTCAATGAGAACATAAAGAGTATAGAGCCAGTTATTGCTGGGCATGACAAGGACTGCGTGAAGCTAGTGTTCAGAGCTCTCTGCCATTTCTACCTCCCTCCCTGTGGTAACTCCACCCACGCTGCTTTTCCCTCCTCAGTCTGTCAGGAGGAGTGTACAGTGGTGCAAGAGAAGTGTGAGACGGTGTGGAACACTATTCTGTCGGCCTTCAACAGCACAGACCCCGTCATTCACTGCAATGATACTTCCAAGTTGCTGTTCCCAGTCCCGCACTGCTGCTCTGATATATTGCTCGACCCTGATTCCTTAACTACATCCCCAGACACAAACTCATCGCCAGAGAAGGACAGAGGAATAGTCACTTGGGCTGTGATTGGAACTACAGTCTTCATCTTACTAGCAGCATTGGTGGTGGTTGTTATCGCGGTTCCACTGGTAGTGCGGTTGGCCTTCAAGAGACACAAGAGAAGGCAATTGGAAAGGGTACAGCTTGACATACTTGCCGTGTGAGTTTCAGTTGAAACAGTCTCTGCGTAATGTGTGTAAATGTTACACTCTGGTATGTCAAACATGTGCAGACCTGGGCATGATGCTCCAGTCTTTGAGTCTACGACTGAAGAAGCAGTGTTCATGAACAACATGGAAATGCAACCGGAAGAGAAAGGAGCTGCAAAGGCACCAGACGTTGTTGGTGTAAATCTTTATAGTAAGCGAGAAAAATGCACAACAATAATGGATTAATGGTTACCCTGTCATTATAGGTGCACCGGTGATAACAAGGCCAGCTTCTGAGCCCAATAACGCTCCAGTCGCATGGACCAGGAGGCGAATTCCCTCCTACAATATGAGAGAGCTGGCCAGGGGCAAGTTTCTGGTCAACAGTGAAGATATTACACTACTGGACTGCATCGGTGAAGGTGTGCCAGTGCTGTTAAAACACACTTGAACCGATTATGAAATTGCTCTTCCTTCAGGAGAGTTTGGAATAGTCTACAAAACTTGGTTGAGGTCATCTGAGAAACAAGTGGCTGTTAAAACACTCAAGGGTATCACACACTAACCTCCCTACTATACTCAACATGTCCATGTGTAGAGACTGTGTGTATATATGTGTCTGGGGAAGGCATGTATAGAGACTGTGTGTATGTGTCTGGGGAAGGCATGTATAGAGACTGTGTGTATGTGTCTGGGGAAGGCATGTATAGGGACTGTGTGTATGTGTCTGGGGAAGGCATGTATAGAGACTGTGTGTATGTGTCTGGGGAAGGCATGTATAGAGACTGTGTGTATGTGTCTGGGGAAGGCATGTATAGAGACTATGTGTATGTGTCTGGGGAAGACATGTATAGAGACTGTGTGTATTAGGGAGTTTTGATTGTCCCACCATATGTGGCGTTCTATATAGAATGCGTCACTCTTGCAGTCAGAGCTACTCACGCATTTTTTTTATTGTTGGAGCTTCCCCTTCGATCTCATGCTTACACGGCTGCCAGGTGATTTTGACAAGGTGGAGGTGGACAAGTTCTCAGACGAGAGTTTGAAGATGAGTCGATTCAAACATGCTCATGTGATGGGACTCATTGGAGTCTGTCTCGATGCTGGCTCCGCCCCTTACATCATCATGCCTTATATGGCAAATGGTAGTCTACTGAAGTACCTCAGGAGGCAAAGAAAGAACGTAGTTCTTTCGGAGGAGACAGATGAAGATGAGGTAATTTCCTGCATTGGTCGTCTCACTCGTTAGAGGTGTGCTATTGGCTAGATAAAGGAGGTCCGTAAGCGACTGATGGTCATGTGTTCCCAGATAGCCAGTGGGATGGAGTACCTGGCAGACAACAAGTACATCCACAGAGATCTTGCTGCTAGGAACTGCATGTGAGCCCTAATACTCAAACATTGTATTGTCATCTTGCACACTGAAGAGTCAGAATACTCTCTCGCATTACATAAGACCGCTGATCTATCTGCAGCTCCCCATAGCTCAGTGCTTGTGAATCTTTCTTCCCATCCTTCTGACTTACACACTTATCGCTATTCTTTTAGCCTGCCAGCTGTGGCATCAAAAGCAAGATGCACGAACAGATTAATCTGAGGTAACCCGCTGAACAAACCTACAGGAGCAATCGTGATCGCAGGTGTGTTATTGTATATCTGTGCTGTCTTCAAGAGTACACACGTGTATGTGTGGATAATATCGCACAATAATGGAAGGGATCACATATGGTATGCATCTCTCTGTCAGGATTGATGCACATTCCCTGATCAAGATCACAGACTTTGGCCTGTCGGAGGATGTCTATGAGAGAAACTACTTCAGGCAGCTGAGTGGGAGTGTAGAGGCTGTGAAGCTGCCGGTCAAGTGGATGGCTCCAGAGAGCCTCAGCGATGGACACTTTTCTGAGAAGAGTGACGTGGTATGTGTGTCGTAATGTTATTCACGGATGACGACCATACACGCAAGTATCTCGCTGCAAGTTTCTACCTAATTTCTCCTTATGCGCCTCTCGACCTTTCTCATTCTCTCTCCCTCCCTCGCTAATTCTTTCCTCGCCCTTCTGCTGTCTTTTTTTAACACAGTGGTCATATGGAGTGACAATGTGGGAGATATTCAGTGGAGGGAAGTCTCCATATCCTGGTACTGATCCACGCACTCTGACACAGAGTCTGGAAGAGGGATACCGCTTGCCTCAGCCATACAATTCTGCCTGCAGTCAGGAAATGTAAGCATCTATTATGCTATCTGTGTGTACATCTCAGAATGATTGTATTACTGGGAGTGTAAGCACTACTTGGTTATTATATTATATCTGTGTTATTTGTGACATTTCAGCTATGGAATAATGAGAAATTGCTGGGAGATGGCACCTGAGAAGAGGCCGACTTTCAGACGACTTTGTTTGAGTATTTCAAAGTTTATTGAGCATATGGCAGACTACATGCAGATGGAGTACAATCCCTTCACTGTGGGAAGGGTAGAGGAGGAAGAAGAGCAAGAGTCAGGGGAAGAAAAGAAGGAGGAGGAGGAGGAGGAGGGAAATGAAGTGGAGGGAGAGGAGAAAGGGAAGACGAATAGGGAGAAAGGGGATGAAGGAGAAGAAGAGGAAGTTTAATCCTGTGTGGCTGTGGATGACATTAGCTAGGGTCTCTGACACTAACTCCCATAATTACGCTTTGTTTTTTTACGCACGTGATGAGCTTCACACTAAAGATATGTAGGCAAGCCAAGCTCTACCACCAGTTGTGGCATAAGATGCTGGTATATATTATACTCTTCTGTAAAGAGTCAATCATTATGCAGTTCATTGTTCTCTTAGCAGAACACGTACCACCACCATATGGGTGGAAGTTTGTTAGCTGAAGCACAATGCCTCATGCTTGTTGGGCAAATTGTTTTGTGAATGTGCAATGCATCAATCAGTAAGACACAGTCTCAGGCCAAATGCAACAAAACAGAGCCTGTTATAAAACGTTTCCTCCTCTTCATATTTGTGAGTGGCAATGAGCATAAGGTTGTAGCTATCAGACTGCATTCCAGAAAGCCGTAAATGGCAGGACAATGAAAATTTCCCTCTCTACCTACTCACACACCCATTCCCTACATGGAAAGATTGTAGGCTGACGTTTTATTGGAGCTCTGTTTACTCTATATGAGAAAGCTGCATGGACAAAACAAGAACAGGGACTTAACAAAATCGCCTCATATAAACATTTCCTCATTTCTGAGCATGGTAAAGGTAGTAGAGTGACGCATTGTAGAGAGCCACATATGGTGGGACAATCAAAACTCACTCCTACACACACCAGTCTCTATATGGACAGATGGGAAGCTGATCCATGCAGTTTCACTGTGCCTATACTAACTCATGTAAGTATAGCTAGCTATATAGCTAGATAGTGTAGTTAGGTTAGTCCAGAGAAAACGTCAACCGCAAACTGCTTTACAGACAAGTTAACAAATTCAACCAAAGCAAAACTGGTCTGTACTGAAAGATAACCCAAAGGTAACTAGTCTGTAGATTGATGGTCTAACTCTTGTATAACAAGTGGAAAAATCATTTCTTCAAAATGAAAGGGGGATATAGGGATGGCTTGAAGCACCAAAAAGGAAGAAACAAGGGGTCATTACACAGCAAAGATGCACAAAGCTACATGACACCATCCCTATATCTTTGTGTTATTGTTCACAACCAATCTCGCCCTGCTGACATTTTCCTCCCTAATTGGGAAAGAGCCGCGCTTGCCGTCTCCGTCATTTCCACTCTGCAACAGTTTACCTTGAAGTAAAGTTTAATATGAGACAAAGATATAGGGATGGTGTCATGTAGCTTTGTGCATCTTTGCTGTGTAATGACCCCTTGTTTCTTCCTTTTTGGTGCTTCAAGCCATCCCTATATCCCCCTTTCATTTTGAAGAAATGATTTTTCCACTTGTTTCCACTATTTTTCACGCCTTATGACAACACTGCATTTTCAGTCACTCTGATGTTCATGGGTGTTGTAGAGATAACTGTTGAAAGCAGAAGCTAATGGGCTGCTCCTACCTGAAGCAGGGTGTATGTGTAGTGTCTCCAACAAGGATGCAATTAGATTGTGGCACATATGGTGGGGTGGTTTCATAGGCAGGCTTCAGTAATCAGACTACAATGATAGCTATAACCTGGGGGACAAAGAATGAAGGCGCTGTGCAAGGCCCGCGTAACACGGCGCACACTGCCAAGTTGCTCCTCGTGCAAATCAACAGCAAAACGCAAGCTAGCCACTTACAAATGTGCACACTGACTTACAGAAGGCACCGAAGGATGAGAGTAGTTTTCTCTGAAGGCATCCAGTCCTGGCTTAGTCTCGTTCGTGGACCAGGTTTACGAGACAAAATGCGCGCGCGCCGCATTGGAAACGCCCTCCTCGGCGCATGCGGCTCACTGATGCTGAGTTAGCAACAAATGGCGTTGTTCAGTGACTACCGAGGAAGAGCTCAACGATCTACCGTAGTGACTTGCGGCAAGAAAGAAACGATCGCTTGATATGCATGCACACCTCCGGCAAATTCGGAGACGTTCTGTGAAAAAATCAACGCTTCAAGTGCTTCCAGTAAGGAGCTAGCGGGTCTGAAGAAGAAGAAGAAGAAGAAGAAGAAGATGAAGAATATGATGATGACACGAAAATCGTGAAATCGCGTATGAGCGAATTCTCGCGTGGACGACTGAAGGTGCGTATGAGGTCTTGGGGGACATGTATAGGTAGATATGGGCCCGTAGACTATTGCTAGTATGTTTTGAAGGCCTAGGGAGTGATTCTCACCGAGATTTTAGTCGTTTTGTACGCGGATCACGTGAGATTTCACCCGTGTCATCCCTATATAGAGAGTCTACCGACTCTCTGATAATGTGCCAACCTATGGAGTGACATCCCTAACCTTGAGGTGTTTCTTCCGAGAAAGGCTGCATGGCTACGAGAGACTATATATAAGGTAGCTCTCAAGAGTTTATCGCGCGTTCGCAGATGTGCATGCGTACATAGTTGACAAATATAATATACTAAATTTGTATAGCTAGTGTAGATTTGGAAATTGCACTGGGTTGCAAATTATAACTAAGTAATTGCTTCAATTGCTCACATCAGATGAGATTGCTAGGACAAACAGTGTTGCTTAATTAGGTATGTACAAACTTTTACCTGACTGAATGTCTAAAATGCGTGCCAGTAGTGAGACGCACCTCACAGCATGCAGTCAGATTGGGATTACTATCAATTATTATGCATTTTGTTTCAGACCTCAGCCTGATAGGGTATCAGCAGCAATGGGAACAGCACGTGCTGTCCTTCTCTTACTATTCCTGATGCCATCTGTATATTATACTGAGGCTAAAAAGTTCTACCAACAAGAATCTCCTCCAAAGCAGAAATCTGACTGTCTGTGTGAAGGCAGCAGTTGCTATGTTAGTCCTGATAACTTTTGGTGTTTGAAGAAACAAATGTGCTCAAATTACATCATCATACTAAATGGTGAGAAATTCAATGTAGATATTGAGAATGGCTTTATAGTCATTGAGAATGTGTCCAACTTGACAATATCTGGTGGAGAAAGTGGCAGTGTTATTGAGTGCTCCCCACAGTCGACCTTTGGCCTCCACCTCAGGAATGCCACCAATGTCACACTGACTGGAATCAGGTTCAGAAATTGTGGCTCTATCCCAAACCGCTTGAAATACTTAAACGTCAGTATAGACTTTTATAATAAAACCACACTTCTCATGGAAGATTCAACAAATGTAACTCTGTCCAATATCGACATAGAAAAATCGCCAGGACTTGCACTGGCGATAATTGATTTTTCAAATGATAACTCCGGAGATACTTTTGATGAAGTGAACCTCAACTTTAGGCTTATTGACAGCACTATTGTTGACAGTGGAAAAACCGCCATGTTAATATATGGAATACGTTCTTTGTACATAGAGAGGACCGTCGTTGCTAACTGTAGTGCTGGCATATTAACTTTCTACACTGGGATGATTCTGAAGGATGTTGATATTATTAACTGTGCATATTCTTACCTCCGATATGGACAATTGATAGTGAGAAAGAGACTCACGTTTCACCAATCATCGCTCTACAACAAAGGTCAAAGCATTAACATTTCTGACAGTAATATTCACTTCTTTGGCGGCAAGTCTCAGAGAGGGCTTTTTGTTAACAAGAGTAATCTATCAATTACAGAAAACTCCACTATTGTGTTTACAAAGTTTAACCTCACTTCAGAGACTTCTTTTGCTTTAGCCCTTGTATCATCCAATGTTCTGGTCAGCAATTCTATCCTGAATACAACAGGAAATGCTATAAATGGGGGAACATCGATTTTGCATTTTGCCTATAGCAAGATTGATATGATTAATAAAACGTCTGTGTACTTTGACAAAAACATTATTGAGAGTGTTCAAAATGCTGGTTTATGGCTTTTTGGAAGCTTGTGGGATATGGGACCAGACTCTAACCTCTCAGTGACTGGGAACATTGCTAAAAAGGGATTCTTTATCGAATTGATTCCCAAGACAGTTTATGTTTCCAGGAATGTTTCGTTTTCTGGATCTGTAAGGATTGAAAACAATACGGTGGAGAAGTTTGGAGTTTTTAATATTTTTTCGTCAAATGTACTCTTTCGTGGAAGCCTGACAGCCGTGAGAAATAGAGCAGTGGGTGGTGTCATCAATGCAGACACAAGTGATCTTTATTTCATAGGCACAGCCACCTTCACAGACAATTACGCTTCTAATGGAGGAGCAGTGACCCTCTCAGTCTCTAGCATGAAAGTGTTTTCCGGTGCAAGTGTCGACTTTACCAGAAACCAAGCGGAGGGGTTGGGTGGTGCAATATTCATCTCGAATCCCTATTTCAAGGAAGTAATTTGTGAACCTATCAAAGTCAGAGTTGCCAAATGTTCTATTGAAGTGTTGCCACTGCATGACTCCTTCACCAATTGCCAGTTGCCAGTTAGCTTCAACCAGAACAAGGCAGGCATAGCGGGCAATGCTATTTATGGTGGTCGCATGTCAGCCTGTTGGCACTGCATCATATCTAGAAAAAACTTCAACTGTATTAAAAGCACAGCATCCGATGTCACTGACCTTTTCATATACAATGGAGTGAATGACTCCTCAGATCTCTCCAGTTTCACCTCTGACCCCACCAGAGTCTGCTTCTGCGAGAACGGCATTCCAGACTGCTACAAGGCTGTGCATAACATAACAGTCCATCCAGGAGAGAGGTTCAACTTCTCTATGGCTATAGTGGGGTATGGTCTGGGCACTGTGCCAGGATCAGTAATTGCTAGGAGCAGCAGTGGGAGCAAGGGAAGTGTTTCTAATCAAAGCCTGTTTGACAGCGATTTAGAGTACTCGCAAGAAATTAGGGGAACACTGTGTGAGGATATTGGCTATTCCATTGTGTCAAAGAGAAACAGAGAATCGATTTCACTGGCGGTGAATACACTGTCATTTTTACAATCAGTAGAAGATGCCAAGGCTGTGGTCGAGTTTCAGTTATCACAAAGTAAGGTCAATCTCAAGGCTGCTTTACCTCCATGAATTAGTTTTTGAGTCTTTTTTCCACATCCCAGTTTTTGTGGAGGTGAGTCTACTGCCATGTCCAGTTGGTTTCCAACTGGTGAGAGGGAAATGTGTCTGTCACCAGATATTGCAGGAACACAACATGACATTGCTTCTTCTCCAATCACACAGGTTTTCATCCTGAGACCTCCCCCTATTGGATTGGACTATACAATGACACAAACTCATCCATCTCATCCACCCTCACTGCCCCTTTGATTACTGCCAATCAGAAGACATCAACATCACTGCAGAGTATCCAAACACTCAATGCCAGTACCAGCGATCAGGAGTCCTCTGTGGCAGCTGTCGTGAAGGCCTCAGCATGATTCTGGGATCCTCAGAATGTGAGACATGCTCCAATCTCCACCTCGTGTCCATCGGCATCTTCATTCTGATGGGTGTGGCTCTGGTTACCATGGTTACTCTAATGAACATGACAGTGTCAGTCGGGACTCTGAATGGACTCATTCTCTTTGCCAACATCTTGCAAGCCAACAAAACCACATTTCTACCACCAAATCAACCCGAAACCAGTGCTGTCATTTCATTCTGAGTGCCTTCATAGCATGGCTGAACCTGGATCTAGGCATTCCCATGTGCTTCTTTGACGGACTGACAACCTACGTCAAAACATGGCTACAGTTTGTGTTTCCTCTCTACATTCTGGCATTGGTTGGTGCCATAATCATTGCCAGCAACTACTCCACACGAGTGACTCGGCTCCTCGGGACCAATGCAGTCTCAGTTCTGGCCACTCTAGTCCTTCTCTCCTACACCAAGATCCTGAGAATCCTCATCACAGCCTTCTCCTTTCACACACTCACTGGGTCACAGGGGCTACCAGTAGTGTGGTGTGGCTGGCTGATGGCAACATCAAGTACTTCGAACCCGAAAGCATGCAATTCTCTTCTTAGTAGCACTTCTAGTGCTCCTGCTATTGGGAGTACCCTATACAGTCACTCTGACTGCTGCTCCCTGGATACAGAGATCAAGGTTCAAGTGGGTGTCCTCTCTGTACAACAGGTTCAAGCCTCTGTTTGATGCATACATGGGTCCATACAAAGACAGCCATCGCTACTGGACGGGAATGCTGCTGCTAGCGAGAGTGGTTCTGATAGTCCTGTTCTCCAGCATTGCCAACACCAACACAGTGGCCGGTCCTCAACTGAATCTCCTCCTACTCATTCTCTCATCATCTACACTGATAGCTCTTACTGCAGTACTCAAACCATACAAGACAAGACTGCTGAACTGGACTAGAGCTATTCCACCTCACAATCTTACTCATATTCGCCTCCTCCAATCTCTACGTCTCAAGCATTGGTACTGGAAGTGAAGCACGTGCCAGCATCTACATAGTCCTTGTGGGGATCTGTTTCCTTGTGTTTCTGGGAATCTGTGTGGGCCACATCTGGTACAGAGTACGGAAGGCTTTGACTGGAAGGAGGCCAGAACCACCAGAGAGAGAGGAAGAGGATTGGCATCCAGTGTGGTGGAGAGCTAGGGTCAGCAGAACCGAAAAGAAGACAGAAGATGTCGCGGTATCGACAGCTGGGGTCACCAACACCGTCTCCGATGAAGGGCGAGGGTTGGAATACAGAGACTCTGCT